TCTATTAGGATATACTGTGTGTTATGTTTTGGTTGATTCTGTTCGGGTTTCAGCTGCAAGTGTAGCAGACACATTTGGCATGTGCCTTAGGGAGTTTAGAAAACAAGACACCAGTCTGCGAGTGGGTGACGACTAGGTCCGCTCCCCATCCCATACAGCTTCTTCCCGGTTTCAAATCACTCCCGATTTTGTAAGTTTTATACCCTCAACATACTAAATATAAATAGTTTGCGTAGGGTACCTCACCTTGCTTTTGCTTCAAAAACAATTAATAATAATAACTGAGTTCATTCCATTTCGCAAACCCATGGGTACAACTTGCAAATAAATTGGGTGCGCCTTTCGATTGAAGGTTCGAAAAGTCGTGGGCGAGGGCATGAGTATATCCCGTGACTTACTCGGCCCATGTGAGATCATCAGGGTTCGTTGTACCGTTGTCATCACCAACGTCCCCGACTTTTGACGATTTATAGGTACGGACGATTCCGTTGCTTTTTTTCTTTTTTTCTTTTTCTTCCGAGGAATATTCGCGTATGTGATATGATGGTTTGATAGTCATGGTAATTTGCAAGATAAAATTTTAAGAAAATTACAAGATGACTGATTTTGCACCCGGGGAGGTGGGGAGGGGTAACTAGTAAAGGTTTATTTATAGCAATGGTCTTTTTAGACATTAGTACCTCAACTCTTCAATAATTCTATATTAGTCCCCTCAAATGTTTGAAATTGCTTTTTAAGTCTCTTGGATCTTCTTGGGTCTTGCAAATCAAGTTGGTTAACTTACGTTAGATTTGAGGGAAATACTCTCTTGAATCTAACTATTTGAGGAAAGTTCTCGTTATACTCCTCTATTAAGCTCCTAAATAGGTTTTAACTCAAATACCCAATTAGAAAAGAATACCAACAAGTAAACGAAATCATTTTCCACAATGGCCAGGGAAAAAAACATCCTAACTCATTTCTGATCTTTCTATGGTCCCTCTAAAATATATATAACCCTTAACAAGGGGTAATTTGATAATTAAGGGTGTTGGGTCAAGATTTAATCCAACCATGAATTAAAGCACGTTTGATATATCCACTCCCAAACAGTAATTTTGGGAGTTGGATTATCGAAAATGCCCTTTTGTTGCCACCGGACACGGCTGCAATAATTTTTTTTAAATATTTTCGGCCACCGGACTTGGTGTTCGGTGTGCATTGATTTGCTTTTTTTAATTATTACTGCCACCGGACTCCGTGTCCGGTGTGCTTTATATATTTTTTTAAATTGTTCGCCCACCGGAAGCAACACATTCGAACGAGGCATGAAAATGTGCGCGTCAGACTATGTGTCCGGTGGGCAACAAAAAAAAAAGTGTTTGGTGGGACACAAAAAAAGACAGAAAAATTAATTACCCACCGGATTGGCTGTCCGGTGGGAGAAGGGTAATTTAGTCCTCACACACCCCCAAAGTTACTGTTTGGGAGTGTGAATAGTTGGACCCGAATTAAAGTTAGCTAAAAAACTAACAAGGAGACTAATTTGGAGCACCTTGTAGGATTTGAGGGACTAGTAAGCTACTTCAAAGATTTGAGAGGCTAATATATAATTATTAAAGATTTGAGGGAAAATTATCCGATAAACCTTAGTAATGTAAGGGAGTGTTTGGTTCAATTTCTACAAATTATAGGAAATGTTTTTCATCTAAAATATGATTTCCTTGTATTTCTTAAAAAATTACAGGAAAAGTTTTGAGAAGTCAAAAAATATAAATTTTCTTATTTTTTTTTTACTTTGTTTGTTTTGTTCAAAACAAAAAATGACCCATAACTTTATAGAAAATAGCAAGATTTCCTATAATTTGTAGAAATTGAACCAAACACCCCCTAAATTTATAAAAAATATCAACTTTATAGAAAAGTGTCAATGTGGTGTCAGATTTCTAGGTGATTTCCTCTCATTTTGAGAGGAAGTTGATTTCTGTAAATTTTGGTATTTTTTTGTACTTTACAAAAAATATTTCCGTAAATTTTTTTGAACCAAACACAGTTTACGAAAACCTGCAGAAAATTTTTAATTACAGAATTGTCATTGTCAGACATTTTGAAAAAACTTTTCTATAAAATTGTGCAACCAAACACACCCTAAGTGGAGCATAATTACATTTTTTTAATGCAATGACTATCCCGTGTAACTTTTCTAACCGAGGATCCAAATCCTCTCCAATTATAGCCAATGAACGCAAATCCTCATTGAGTAGAAATATGAACACGTATAATTACTTACCAATGTGACAGGTAACAGTAGAGTTCTCATAGAATGGTGTAAATGATGAGGCGGCTGATACTGTAAGAATGCAATTTCTATATATTAATGCGAGTAATGGAAAATATATAAAATAAATAAATAAATAAAATGAGGTTAGTATAAATAAATAAATATGCGTGTGATTAGTATGATGCTAAAGACAAGATGTGACCTCAAAATAAGCGGCTGCTAACTACTAGGTTCAATCTTACATATCTCTTATATGTTAATTCTTTTTCAAAAAGTTGTGGTCTTTAAACTCTCTGCTCATCGGAGTTACTCTCTCATATATCATAAATCAAAGATGAAGACACAAGTTCTATTTCAGGATAATGATTAGTTAATTGAGAAACTCCAATCATGGAGAGAATATTTTATCTAAAGTTCGCTTAAGGTATTGTCACTTTCTCACAGCTGGAAATCGCGAAGAAATTGAGATATCATTAAAATCTACATTTCTTCTACAATTTAAGAGGGTAGGAGCCCAAATGGCAATCAGCAAGGGCCCATGGTAGGAGGACAGAGCTTGTGACAATGCGCCCATTTGAAGCAAAATTCAGAATGGAAAAGTGAAAAAAACTATAGAGGGGTCTCTATACTCCCTATACCGAATATTGTGAAGGGAAAAAAGGGTGATATATGATATATTATGAAGTTTGATGCCCGTATTACTAATGTTTATCCATATAATTATAATTTTTTACGATGGCAATTGTGCAATTATATAGTAAATACACTGAAGATAATAACTTGACAAATGCCCCCTCCCACGATACCAAAAGTCCAAAGTTATGAAAAGGGTTATGGTTATAATTTTATACTTTACCATATCGTATAAGTTAAGTGTACTTTTTTTAGGTCGAAACATGGACTCATACAACATCAGCTGCTGGTATTTGAAACTAGCCAGGTTGCACTTATATCATAGAAATTAACTCCGCCGCCTATACAAAGAACTCCAAATTAGCGATGATTCTAAGAGTTATAATTTTATACTTTAAAAGTGATTTTTTAGGAGAAATTTTCAAAACCAACCGTTTTTCAATTTTAATAGGCAAAATCGACCTAAACTGGAAAATATTAGCAAAACCGACCCTTTTCTTCTGAAAAGGGTCGGTTTTGCAGCGGAGCGACTTTTACGAAGTGCACGGGACTGCTAGTCCCGTGCACTTGGTCTTGAGCAGCGGCTGGCCTCTCTGCTTAAAAGTCGGGACTAGCAGTCCCGACTTTTAAGCAGAGAGGCCAGGCCCCAGACCAAGTGCACGGGACTAGCAGTCTCGTGCACTTGATGTGCACACTTTTGTGCACTTTCTGGCTGCATTTCAAGCAGTTCCTGTGCATACATCAACACAAACATCGACTAACAAGTCACATACTCATTTCACCACTGCATTTCATGTAGTCCCGTTGCATACATCCACACAAACTCCCACTAACAAATTACATCACATCACACCACACCACAAACTCATTTCAAATCAAACAAATCACATCACACCACAAACTCCCACTAACAAATCCAACATAATAACACCACAAACTCCCACTAACAAATCCAACATAATAACACCACAAACTCCCACTAACAAATCCAACATAATAACACCACAAACCCACTTAGAAATCAAACATATCACACGATATTATCGACTACAAATCCAAAAATCACATCCCTAAATAGTTTTGTAATGTATATAACCTGTAGTTTACATACATCCAAGAACTCTCCTCCTCCTCCTTTGGCTTCGTCGTCCTCCATACCGCCCTTCGACGAGTTCGTGATCCGGTTGCGTTTGTGGTTGTGACGGTCCAGCTCCATCGTCGACACGTTGGGAAGGTCCAGCTTCATCGTCATTTCTGCGTCGTCCTCGACTTTGTCGCTGTTGTCGTGTATATACGAATGGCGTTACCTCCCGTCCATCATGACGATCTTCGTGAGTTCGGTGTAAGGCTTGTTGAAGCCTCTGCATTATAGCCTGATATATTGATACATGTTCATGTGCTTCGGGATTTCTACCTGCGATAGATAGTTCAAAAACAAAATTTCATATTAAATTTGATATTACAGAATGTAAATTTGAGATTTAATTTTATCGTACCTGCTCGAGCCAATTCCAAGCCACGATTTGCAAGAGTTTGAACTTCATCTATTGCTGATACCTGCAAATTTTTCAACACATAAAGTACCAATAAAAATGGACTTAAATCAAAATATGAAAATACTTACTAATTCTCTCTCATCTATACCCCGGGGCACATATCCTCTTTGCGACTCAACCGGTATTGTGGTCGAATGAAGTATCCATCTTCGGGTTATGTCCCAATACCAAGTGTAGTAATCTGATTCCCGAGGAGTTGGTTCAATTATATTTGACGCTTAGCGTATTGGATTGAGAAGAAAAGAAAAAAAAATGATGATAATATTTCTTCTCAATCGAATACGTCGCGGACTTGTTCACGTTCTGATTTCCCAGTATTTTGGGAAGCGGGGCGTGACAGGTTTTAGTGGTGGCCCATGCAGGTCACGGTCCCGAGTTCCCACTAGTAAGAATGTATTGGACGATTCAAATACATATCATTTTCCATCCGTAAGACTACAATTAAGTTCTTATATTATTATCTTAATAACTATGTTTTAGTCCTTATTTTCCAAATATATTGTTTGATCTTGACCTTAGTTATCCTTTTGATCCTCGTTTGCTTCAGAACCATGGTGGGTACTCGTAGTAATGGTAACCCATCCAGTAGCAATGGTCAGATGCCTGAAGCAGATCCGCAGCAGCTTTTTGCGATGATTCAGGGGCTGGTAACGAACCAGCAGTTCTTGGCTGGGCATTTGCAGCAGGAGCCTCAGCACCAGCATCCACCTCGCTCGGAGCCTGGTGTTAGAGAGTTTCGATATATACGGTCTCCTTCTTTTACTGCTGCCGATGGACCTTTAGCAGCAGAGGAGTTCCTCAAGGTCACGGAGACTATCCTTACGGTGACTTGTATTCCCCCTGCAGAGTGGGTAGATCTCATGGATGTTCAGCTCACGGATACAGCTAGAATCTGGTGGGCTGCTAAGAAGACACACCTAGAGAGGCCGATTATGTGGGAAACGTTCACGGATCGCTTCAATAGGAAGTATTTTCCTCAGTCGGCCCGAGATGAGCTCCTGCGTAGATTTGTCGAGCTCAAGCAAGGGGGTCGCTCAGTCGACGAGTACGAGGCTGAGTTTTCTTCTTTGAGCCGATATGCTCCCCACTTGGTCACAGACCCCACTATCAGAAGGCACCAGTTCCAGAAAGGTCTGGACAAGTATATCAGATTGGCTTGTCGAGCTCAAGCAAGGGGGTCGCTCAGTCGACGAGTACGAGGCTGAGTTTTCTTCTTTGAGCCGATATGCTCCCCACTTGGTTACAGACCCTACGATTAGGAGGCATCAGTTTCAAAAGGGTCTGGACAAGTACATTAGGATGGCTCTAGCAGGTAGAGCTTTGGCGACCCATGATGCGGTGCTGGATGCAGCACGGGAGATTGAGAGCGTGCATAAGGAGCCTGAAGACTCACATGTGATTCAGAGCAGGACACCAGCAGCTCCGGTCCGGAACGTGCATAAGGAGCCTGAAGACTCACACGTGATTCAGAGCAGGACACCAACAGCTCCGGTCCGAAATGCCGAGCGCCCCCCTCCGAGGCAGCAGCAGCAGGGCCCGCAGAGACAGCAGCACTCTCAGCGTCAGCCGTTCCCTCAGAGTCACCCTTATCAGCGCCCTGGAGTGCAGACTCACGGCCAGCCATCGGTGAAGTGTACTCATTGCGGCTACACTGGGCACACCCAGCAGGAGTGTCGCAGGCGTCTTCGTCAGTGCTACGCCTGTGGATCCCCCGATCATGTCAGTTGGAACTGTCCGCAGCGGCAGCCGGCCAGTTTTCC